GACTTCTGGGAGAAGATTTATAATGAACTGGAAATAAATGTTGAAATATACATTTATTAAGAAACCAGAGGCCTTTCTTCTTGGAATAACAGGTTTGGAATTGCCCAGAAAATTGCCTGCAGCAAGAACCTTGTTAGCTAAGAATTGGAAAACATAAGAAGTTCCAACAGTGGAGGAATGGCAGATGAAGATGATGGATTATTATTTTTTTAATAAAATATTTATTGAGATTTTTTAAACAATCAAATAACAGAATAACAGATATAAACAGAAAGAAAAAAGTCAGAGTAAGATTATACATAAGAAAAAAGATAGAGATGTAGAAAAAAAGTAAAAATAGAATGCATATATTAATAAATCTACTTTCCATCATACTTTGGACTTCCTCACATCACCCTTCCCTGCGTTCCCAATCAGACAGTTATGTGCAGCAATTTGTTACCTTACTTCCATTTCTTATTTTATAAATCACCAATATTCAATTTCAACTTTAAAATCTGTTGGTCTTAAATTAAACTGCTTGTAAAGAGCATAGTATTTCTTCAAGTTTCAACATTACCTTAAACATCACATATTTTCATATGTCTTACAATAGTTTTACTGCTGCCATGATTCTTTCATTCGTGCATTCTCCTAACATTCATACAATTTGTAGTGTTTTTGTAAGTAGTCCTTAAATTTTTTCCAATCCTCTTCCATCGTCTCTTCTCCCAGGTCTCGAATTCTGCTAGTCATTTCAGCCAGTTCCATATAGTCTATCAGTTGCGTCTGCCATTCTTCCAAGGTGGGCAAATCCTGTGTCTTCCAGTGCTTAGCAATGAGTATTCTTGCTGCTGTTGTTGCGTACATAAAGAAAGTTCTATCCCTCTTTAACACCCCTTGGTCGGCAATGCCCAGAAGGAAGGCCTCTGGTTTCTTAAGGAAGGTATACTTAAATACCTTTTTTAGTTCATTATAAATCATTTCCCAGAAAGCCTTAACCCTTGGGCACGTCCACCAAAGGTGAAAAAATGTTCCTTCAGCTTCTTTGCATTTCCAACATTTGTTATCGGACAGGTGATATATTTTTGCCAGCTTGACTGGGGTCATGTACCACCTATATATCATTTTCATAATGTTTTCTTTCAAGGCATTACATGCCGTGAACTTCACTCCGGTGGTCCATAACTTTTCCCAGTCAGCAAACATAATATTGTACCCAATGTCCTGTGCCCATTTTATCATAGCTGATTTAACAGTTTCATCTTGCATGTTCCATTTCAACAGCAAGTTATACATTTTAGAAAGTACCTTAGTCTTAGGCTCTAACAGTTCTGTTTCTAGTTTTGATTTTTCCACCTGGAAACCTAATTTTTTGTCCAAATTGAAGGTCTCCTTGATCTGGGCGTAATGTAACCAGTCTCGCACTTTACCCTTTAATTTCTCAAAACTCTGCAATCTCCAGTTATCACCTTCTTTTTCTATTATCTCCCAATATTTCGGCCATTTGGCCTCCATATTGAGTCTTTTCGGGGCCTTGGCTTCCATTGATGACAACCACCTTGGGGTTTTATTTTCTAACAAGTCTTTGTATTTTACCCAGACATTAAACACAGCTTTTCTGACAATATGGTTTTTAAAGGCCTTATGAATTTTTACCTTGTCGTACCACAAATATGCATGCCATCCAAAAGCATTGTTGAACCCTTCCAGATCTAGGACATCAGTGTTCTCAAGGAGAAACCAATCCTTCAACCAGCAGAAAGCTGCAGATTCATAATACAACCTCAAATCTGGCAGGGCAAACCCCCCTCTCTCTTTAGCATCAGTTAGTATTTTAAATTTTATTCGGGGCTTTTTGCCCTGCCAGACAAACTTAGAGATATCTCTCTGCCATTTTGTGAAACATTCCACTCTATCCACGATCTGTAGGGTCTGAAACAGAAATAACATCCTTGGCAATACATTCATTTTTATCACAGCAATTCGGCCCAACAAGGAAAGTTTTAGTCTCGACCAAGATTCTAAGTCCTTCTTAATTTCTGTCCAGCACTTTTCATAATTGTCCTTGAATAGATTCAAGTTTTTAGAAGTCATATTAACCCCTAGGTATTTCACCTTCTTAACAATTTTTAAATCTGTCTCTTTCTGAAACCTTTCTAATTCCTCAGTTGTCAAATTTTTCCCCAAGACCTTTGTCTTCTGTTTGTTTAATTTAAAACCCGCCAACCGACCAAATTCTTGAATAAGTTCTAAAACTCTTTTCGTGCTAGGGTCTGGTTCCTACAATGTCAAAACCAGGTCATCTGCAAAAGCTTTAAGTTTGTACTGTTTGGCTCCGACCTGAATCCCTTCCACCAACAAGTCTCCTCTAATCATATTCAAGAGCACCTCCAGGACCGAAATAAATAACAAAGGGGAAATAGGGCAACCTTGTCGTGTTCCTTTCTGAATCTTAAAGTCCTCCGTCACCACATTGTTGACTATTAGTTTAGCTTTTTGTTCTGAGTAAATTGCCCCTATACCATTTTCAAACCCCTGTCCCACTCCCATCCCTTCCAAGTTTTTTTTCATAAACAACCATGATATATTGTCAAAGGCCTTCTCCGCATCTATAAAAATCAACACTGCTTTTGTGTTCATATTTGTTTGTAAAAGTTCCAAAATATCAATAATATTTCTGGTGTTCTCAAACAAATGTCTACCTGGAAGAAAGCCTGCCTGATCTTTATGAATTACTTCATTTAACACTTTCTTAAATCTGTTTGCCAAAATATCTGCAAAGATTTTGTAATCCACATTCAGGAGAGAGATGGGACGGTAGTTCTTAAGTTGTGTCTTTTCAGATTCCAATTTAGATGATGGATTTTTTGGAGCTGGCCGACCTGACTGGAAGAGTCCGTGACCAGGAGGAGGAGTACCAGGAGGATTGCAGGAAATTTAAAGATTATTTAGTTAAATGTGTTAAGATAATATAATTGGAAAAACTTGCAAATATCAGATAGGTTTAGGATTTAATTATGTAATCTTAGGAATTAATATGTTTAAAGCTAAAATAGAAAGAAAGAACGATGCAAAGTGATTAAGTTAATTTTATGAGAAAAATGGCTTTGGAAAACTGTTAAAATGATACACACTGAAATTCAACTACGGGGATTTGAGGAAGTCATTTAACAATGTCACTAAGCTTGGTTTAAATAGGGTTAAGATTTATGTTTGTCTGTTTGTTTGTTTAAATTTTTTTGGAAAATCAATAATTTATTGGGGGGGGGGAAATAAAATAAAATTATTAACTCCTTATGTAAAATCTGAGCCTTAGTAGCTGGAAATAAAGATAACGAAGCCAACTGAAGATAAGGGATTATTACTTGCCTGTTCGGTATTATATATTATTATATATTATTATATATTATAGGGACGCGGGTGGCGCTGTGGGTAAAACCTCAGTGCCTAGGACTTGCCGATCGCATGGTCAGCAGTTCGAATCCCCACGGCGGGGTGAGCTCCCGTTGTTTGGTCCCAGCTCCTGCCAACCTAGCAGTTCGAAAGCACCCCCGGGTGCAAGTAGATAAATAGGGACCGCTTACCAGCGGGAAGGTAAACGGCGTTCCGTGTGCTGCGCTGGCTCGCCAGATGCAGCTTGTCACGCTGGCCACGTGACCCGGAAGTGTCTGCGGACAGCGCTGGCTCCCGGCCTATAGAGTGAGATGAGCGCACAACCCTAGAGTCTGGCAAGACTGGCCCATACGGGCAGGGGTACCTTTACCTTTACCTATTATATATTATATAATATATATTATATATTATATAGTGGAGAATGGCATCAGGGGAGTCAGGTGCACCAAGTTGCCTCCAACATTGTGGGAGCTGGTCACGCATGTGTGACGTCACACATGTGCCACCGCCACCCAACCTGGCCAGGCCAACTTGGCCCGCCACCACCCCACCACCAGCTGCCTTACCTTTGGTGGAGGATGTCCCAGTGAGAAGACACTTCCTGCTGGTGCATCTTTGACAGAGAGCACCAGAGCGCTTTCCTGGAAGGTGCTCTGTCGTTCCTCAAAAGGACGTGCCAGGTGAAGATGCTTCCCCCTGACAGGTCCTTTGGAGGACTGCAGTGGAATCTTGGGGGGGGGGCTTCTTGACAATATTGGGGGCCCTGGCACAGGTGGTGGGGGGGTTGTGACAGGACTCACCAGAACAGAGCACCAGCAACTATGTTGTACTGACACCCTTGATCAAGATATACCAGCATCTCATTTTTCTTTTACAAAACCCCCCACTCACCACTATTTGATACATGCAGATATAAAATATATTCAAAAGAAACTAATATTGATACCACAAATGCTAAAGTGAAAAAAAACACCCTACCACATATTGTATAGTTAGTCTTTTCATTCACAGCCTCTCCAATGTCTTGGAGAGAGGCTGTTACAAACAAGCTGAAGTTTCACATCTGAGAATTTGCTGCGACTGAAACCAACACAAGCCGTTGTTGAGTCCATCCATACACAATCTTAATGGATAGTTATTCCAAGGTCAGATTCCCATGCCACTTTAAAATTTGCATTGCCATTGTTTTCTGACACTGGCATATTTGAGAAGTAAGGAGAACTCACCTACAGATTGATATTGCATTTAAAATAAAATACCATCCCACCAGTCCTGTATATTCTGGGTTCTCTGTGAGGAGATGCCAGCTAGACATTGCATGCAAGGTGCTAAAATGAGATGAGCAGAGGGCAATGGAGATTCAATCCAGCTCCCTCACTACCTACTGCCTTTACAGACTTCGGCTTTCCATGCGTATGTGGTCTAGTATCTGACCCCGTGGTCTAGTATCTGACCACGGGGCATTATTAAAGCAAGACTCCTATTGGGGATTTCAGTGACTAATGGCCAACATATCTATGGTGAAATGATGTAGATTATATGGGAAATAGGGGCATGGTAACCCTGAGGTGCCAAGGCACAAGACACTGCTGCCATAGATTCCCATATAAAGTTAAATGTCTTACCTTACACTTCACCATATCCTGCACTCTCTCTTGCGTTGATTGTCCAGACTTGGGTCTCACAAGAATATAAATACTTTTCACATCAGGGCTGCAATACAACAGCTTTTCCACTAGCACTTTGCCCATAAAACCTGTGGCTCCAGTAACAAGTACTGACTTTCCATTGTAGTAGGATGCAATTGATGACATGTTGCTTTCAGTTTCCAGCTTCTTTGTGGAGGTAGCTAGCAGAAAGATGGAATAATGCAATGTGTTAGATGTCTGAAAATTCTGGATCATGGTTCGGAGTAGTATTGGCACTGTTTAGGCCACTAATGGCCAAACTTGGCGCTCCAGCTGTTTTGGGACTACAACTCCCATCATCCCTAGCTAACAGGACCAGTGGTCAGGGATGATGGGAACTGTAGTCCTAAAACAGCTGGAGGGTGAAGTTTGACCATCACTGGTTTAGGCCGTATCTTCTGCTAAAATTAGAGGACTGCGAAGAAGAAAATTCTATATTAACAGAAGAGCAGGCTGGTTTTAAGAAATGAAGATCAACTACAGAGAACCACTATCTAAACCACTATCTCAAGGCAATTTACATTTAAAATGATTAAAAACAGAGAGAAAAACTCCCAAACCCAAATACATTTAAAACAAGACTAAAACAAAGGATTTCTCTTTCTAAAACAATATAGTACAGAGCTCGACACAGGAGCCATGAAGGTCAATCACTCATCCTCCCACCCACAAGGTCAGGGGTGGGGGGTGGATTCAGCCTGTCCTGCTCCAACACCCCTGGAAGCAATGTGACTGGTAAATCCCTGGCCTGGCTGCAGGGCATGGTGAAAGTTCCTGCGGGGCACAGGAGCGGACCAGAGGGTAGCAGTCTTCACTCTGGTTCGCTCCCAGCCCTTAGGGCTCATCCACACTTATCTATTGTTCCACACTTTCTAGGCACAGGTCAGCACTTCAAAGCACCATGTCCAAGCATTTTTTGGCAGGTATTGGCACTTTCCCCGCAAAAACCCACTCTTTATTGCTGAATCAGAGGAAATGGCAATCCATGAATTGCATTTGTTCTGACTGAAGAGTAAAGAGTGGATTTTTGTGGGGAAAGTGCTGGGCCAAAAAATAAAAAGTGTTCTTACATGGTGCTTTGAAGTGCCTAGAAAAGTGGCAGAAAAGGAAGTCTGGAAGTCTGCCATTCCCTTAGAATGGCAAGGTATTTTGTATCTTCCACTCACACTAGTTTGCATGGCCGACCTGTGTGGGCAGAGAAAGGTCCATTCATCTGAGCACACCATTTGATTATACATTTTACCTTTAGAAAAAAACCAATTTTGAAAAATCAGTTGCACTAAAATGATTTTTAAATTCCAGTGTTAAAAAAATGGGGCAAGGAAGACACAAAATTGAAAAAAATATGGTTGTATAAATGGAACAGCATACACACACACACACACACACACACACACACACGTGCACACATATAAAAATTGTAAGATTGATTTTAAAATGTAGTTAAAATGAGTCTGACTGGAAAGGTAACAGCTGAAGTTATGTCAACAGAGATGCAGGATAAGCTCAAATGCCTAATAAATCACTGCACACCATCAAAATCTAGTCTCTTAAGAAGAAGAAAATTGCAGTGCAAAGACAACCTGGCTGCTCAAGATCCTTGTATGAATTTACAAAGCCCTGAAGAACTTCGGTCCAGGGCACCTTTGGAACCACCTGACGTGATGGCTTCAGAAGAGGACTGGGTGAATTCATGGAGCCAGGCTATCTGTGGCTCCTAGTCATGACAGCTATGCCCTGTCTCCACAGTCAGAGGTGGTCATGTTTCTAAATACCAGTTGCTGGAAGCCTCAGGAGGGGAGAGGGCTCTTGTGCTTGAGTCCTGCTTGTGGGTTTCCCACAATGGGCATCTGCGTGGCCACTGTGAGAACAGGAAGCTGGACTAGATGGGTCATTGGACTGATCTTTTGAACACTTATATCCTAGTTTGATCACTGAGGTCACCTGTAGGAGTGCTGAGCTGGTGAAACTGGTTTGTCAACAACATGAAACTGACACCTGTGGAATGCTCTTCCAATGGTTAATGCCTTCCGTATTAAATTTTTAATGATTGCTGAAAACTTTTCTATGATACCAGACCTATGCAAACAAAAAGGTGTTTTCTGTAACAGTTAACTGGTGATCTGTAATTTCAATTTTTTATGTGGCTTATATATATATATTTTTAAAGTTACATGACTTTATTGAAATTCATAAATAACATAAATAATATACATAATATACACACTCTTAATTCGACAAAAATGAAAACAACCATGTACTAATATTATTCTTTGAATTCAGAAAAATTAAACTTCATTTAAATTTATAGTCTCTTTTTTCCAATCTTTTTACTAACATAAAATACACTTCCTATCATTTCCCAATGCAAACTTTCTTTCTAGTGTTGAATGTACTTAATATTATTACCTTACTCTTTCTGTATTTTCTAATACCTTCTTACAACAGTTTGTATTCATTACCTTATTTCTTAACAATTACTTTAAACAAGGGTCATTCAAATGCTGCCATAAATATTATACCACTATTATATTTCTGTATACACTATTATATTTCTTATACATATCCCATTTTTGAATAAATAATTGTCTTGTGTTGCCTCTTAGTCTATTGGTCAATTGCGCCATTTCCGCATATTCCTGTAATTTGCCTTGCCAATCTGATAAAGTTGGAACTTTCCCCCCTTTCCAATTCATTGCAACCAGTGTTCAGACTGCAGCCGTGGCATATAGGAAGATTTCTCTTAATTCTTTTGGGGTTTTTGGGGGAATTTGGAACCTAAAATACCCAGCAGGAAGGCCTCTGGCTTTTTTAAGAATGTTAACGTAAGATCTTTTTCAGCTCATCATAAATAAGATTCCAAAACTCTCTGATCTTTCTGCATGTCCACCACATGTGGTACATATCTCCTTTACTTTCACCGCACCGCTAACAGTTATTCGATATTTTTTTTAATGTATTTTTTTATTAAAGATTTTCTTGATTTACCGAAGTATGTGTAATGTCTCTCGTATTTTTTCCATGTAACATTTTTACAAATCAGTTTCATTTGTTGAGACATTAGGAAGAAAAGGGGGAAAGGGGTGGAGGGGAGGAAAGATGGGTGGGGGTGGGGTCGGGGTCGGGTGGCAATGTTTTTTTTTAATGAATATATGTAGGGTTTGGTGTCAAGCTATTCAATATATTTTTGTACACCTTTGAAAGCTTTGATGGAGTGAGATACCATTTGTATTGCATCTTTAGCATGTTTTCTTTAATGGTGTAACATGCCGTAAATTTCATGTTTGCTTTCCAGAGCGTTTCCCATGTCTTGAGCCCATCTAAGAAGAAAAATATGAAAGGAAGCTGGCTGACATATAATTCCTTGTTGATAGATGACGGTAACCAAATAAATCTTAGAAGCTATGAGGAAATAAAAGATCAGCTCTCAGGATGGCTAGAATATCAACTCCAAGAGACGTTTTTTTTTAAGCAAGATTAAAAAAATGGCTTTGCCACTGAGCCCTCTAAATTTGAAAAAGAATTACTAAATAACAAAGTTAAGATATTATCAAAGACGAGGTGGAGGTGAAGGCGGTTTTTATATAAAATTGTTGTCCAACTGCATAATGGACAAACAACTTTCTGAAATATATTGTAGATTTTATGTATGGCTTTTGATTTATTGTAGCATCACTGGTGGAGGGAGAGGAGAGCGCGGGGAGTGCACTGCCCCCGGCAGCGCGATCCCAGTAGGGTGCCATCGTGGCTGCCCCCGAGCCCACGCTGGGCGCCACGCCCCTGCAGGCAGTGTGCCCCACCCCCAGGACGCACGCCAGCCCTGCCCCCAGCTCTTCTCCACCCCTGGTGCCGGAGCATGAAGCTCTGCCCCTGTGTAGCATGCCAAGTTTATTGATGGTCATCCATGCTCTGCTTATAAATGATCCTTCATTGGAGGTTTTAAAGCAGAGGTTGGATGGCCCTCTGTCATGGATGCATTGCAGGGGGTTGAACTAGATGACCCTCAGGACCGCTTCCAACCCTACAATTCTATTACTGCCTGGCAGGAAATTGGTCAATCAGTGTTTGAAATAACTAAATAAACTTCAGAGACATTCATTCATAATCATTTTGCACTAGATGGTACTTCAGGTCCCTTTCAACTCAACAATTATATGATCCTATGAACATTTTATTGAAGAAATCTGATCTCTGTATTCAGTGGCAAATCTCAGAGAATGCTGCATTCTGTACTGAGCTTCTTTATATCACATTGTATCTAAAGATAATCTTTTTTATCATTACTGTACCAGTAAACTGCAAAATCTATTTGCCCTGTGATCACTGTACATTGGGGATTAATATACAGGCTTCTAGGAGCACACACTTATTTCCCCCACAATGATTTTTTCTCAAATTAAACTAGGGATTTTGGATTATGGAGAAAGTCTAAAGGTATAATCATTTAACTTTGTGTGCAACTTTGAAGGCCAAGGTAATCTTAACCTAAATTCTAGAAAGGAGGACTGCAGCACTGAATTCCCCAAGCAATCATGTGCTGCAGGTGTGTAGGGGGAATATTGGGTTTATTGTGCCCATTTTAGAGTGAACCTCTCTAAACTTATATTTCACTGTTGGCAGTGCTTTTTCCCCTAAAAAATGTTTAGGGGTACTCTCATTTTCTACTCATATTGAAATACTGCCCCTCAATGAGGCCAAACTTAGATTCACAAAATATTTAGGAGTATGTGTACCTTTGCATCTCCCCAGAAATAAAGCACTGACTGTGGGTAATAAATTACAAATATATTTTTTAATATCCATATTTTTAAAAGTGCTGTATGCTTTTGTAATGAAAATGAAGAAAAACACAAAATATAAACTTATTTCTGAAAAGTCAGATTTCCCCCTTTTAATGTGCTCTTAAACCAGTGCCCCCCCATCTGTACATATATCTCTGCAGAAAACAAGAACATGCATGATTTTGTTGAAGTGCAGCAGACACAGGAGTCTAAGGCTCTGGCTCAGTTCACATAATCAGCAGAATCAATACAAAAAGTTTTTCATAGATGCAATATTTGAACATTGCCCCACAAAGAATACCACTACCCTGCACATTGAAAAACGGCTTATGAGGTAGACGGCTAGGCTGAAACATAATCATAGCATGCTAGTTTTCTGTGTGCATGGAGTTTCTTGGGAGGGAATATTCAAAACACCACTCTATCCTCCCCTCCCCACCCCCAAAGTTC